AGGTTCGTGAGTCGCTTTGCCACCACCAGGTTTTCCAGAAATGCTTAGCTCTCTCTTGAGATATAACACTTGATCTTGCAGCGAATTAATAGCAATGGTTTGATTTGCAATCGTCACATCCTTTTGACGTAAAAGCTCCTCCAAATACTTAATTTTAATATCATCCACGTTAGGATTTGAACTATCCTGATAAGACAATTTATGCTCTTGGGTTACAGGTTGATTACCAGCAGTTTGATTACCAACAGTTTGAACTTCATTACTGTCAGCGCAACAATTTACTGTTGCGTCATCAATAAACTTGACTGATTTCAAAACATTTAAACAGCTCTTATGAGAAGTAACACCACATGTGATGCATTTCAAACCAGATTGAACAGAATTTCTGCACCTCTTACATTTATTGACAGGTAACACACTTGCAGAGCTTTTGTTTGACATAACTAGCAGCTTGTGAAGCTCAGATGTAATAATGCAGTCCAACTCAAAACGACTCGTGGCGAAATATCTCACTACTTCAACAATTTTCTCAAAATTAAACGGAGTCAGGTTTAACTCAGACCAGTTTACAATAGTCCGTCCCAGTAGGAGAACAAAAACAGTAAACACTGTAATCAGCCACCGATACGTTTAAAGAGATAATAAAAATCGAACTTACTTGAAGTAATTAACATATACAAACACAATAGTTTGCTTACAACACAGTACCGATGATGTATCCTGCTTTAGAAGAAAATAAATCAAGCAGGTAACACTAATTTAAGATGATTTTGATCAGAGCACTTCAAAACACAATATCACGGTGCAGGTCAACTCGACCTAATGATAAATGATAAACGATTAATGATAAATGATAAATGATAAATGATAAATGATAAATGATAAACGATAAATGATAAACGATAAATGATAAACGATATAGGATAAACGATAAATGATAAACGATAAAGGATAAACGATAAAGGATAAACGATAAAGGATAAAGGATAAACGATAAAGGATAAACGATAAAGGATAAACGATAAAGGATAAACGATAAACGATAAAGGATAAACGATAAAGGATAAACGATAAAGGATAAACGATAAAGGATAAACATAAAGGATAAACGATAGAGGATAAACGATAAAGGATAAAGGATAAACGATAAAGGATAAAGGATAAACGATAAAGGATAAACGATAAATGATAAAGGATAAAGGATAAACGATAAAGGATAAACGATAAAGGATAAACGATAAAGGATAAA